AGAGTTCATAATCATAATGAATTCATTATTAGTTGGAATGATGACTTTGCGATCGATAAGTTTTCAATCAATATTGGAAGAATGAAATGGTGAATTATTCACATGTACGATGGTTTACAAGCATGTGATGAATTTAATGTGGAAGATAGGGTACTTATACATACCTACATACCTACATACACATACAATTTGCAAAATTATTATTTTGCATACATGAGTGTTATTAGTTTATAGCAGTCAAAAATTTATATCATATGCAATGATTGAATTATATTAAGGCAACAAATTGATAATAGATACATTTGTCAGCATTTGATTAACACAAAATGAACAAAATAGAAATATCACGCACGACTTTTCTAATAACATCTGACAATCAGTCAGTCATCTAGGAGAAAGAAACCAACAATGGAATGATTCAAAAGCGAAAAAGGTGGAGGAAGGAGATGGAAAAAGTGACGAGGCGGTTAGTTGATAACATGAAAGAAAAGAAAGAGCTATGTAGCACTCGGATTTTTATGGATTCATTAGGTCAACAATTCTTTGTAAATGTCAAAACAGAAACATAATAATCTTAGCACATGTAGGAACCACTAGTAGTAAACTTAATAAAAGTGATGTAACCAATTAGAAAAGTATCAACAATAATATGAAAATGTGAGAAGACATTTTACTTCGGGGTTTATAATGTTGTAAACAAGGAAACAAACATTTTATTCATAAAAAACTAGGTGACTTGTCAACCTTTGTTTAGCACAAAGCATGGTACCATATATTTGACAATGTGAATAGGATACACATTGCGGGAATTATCCAAATGCATTACGAGGCAAGCCTTAGAGGTTGGTTGGAATCCTCAAGGCCAAGAGGAAGACCAAAAATATAAAAAGAATGAATAACAATTAGGTAGAACCGGAAAAAAAGGAGCAGAATAAAGTAGGCTGGTGAATACTGATCAGCGGACTATGCTCCATTAGGGGGTTAAGGGTGTGAATGTAAGTGAGTAAATACCATATACGAAGATTAAACAAATCTAGTCTTAAATATGAAAAAGAAGGGAACTACACAATGACTCAATAACTTATAGATAATGTGTTGATGGTGTTCGAAAAACTATGTACATTAGATATCAAATCTTGGTGGAAACATGAACACTACAAGACAAATGGTATAGCAGTTCACTAGTTGACAAATTTCAAAAAAAACCCAGATAATTACTTTGTTGTATTGGATACCAGCTCGGTGGTATTGAGGTTAAGGATTCACGTACTAGAATGGACATTCTAGGTTCGATTCACGTTTGCAGGAATGTATATGTGTAATAACTCCGCCAGTAGAACCTTCGGGGCTACTGCCGGTCCCAAGCCCGGGTAAAGGAGGAGGGTTGGACATGGGGTTGGCGACCCCATTCCGTCAAAAACTAACTTGCCAAAAAAACGCTAACCAGAAAAAATAATTCAAACCATTTTAACTCTGCCCTGGGAGTTGGAGGAAGAATTATGACGTCGCGTGATGAAAGCCGAGTTCCCTCGGAAGTCACGGGGCTGATGCCTCTTCTGACAACTAGAGCAACCATTTTTTTAGGTACATGGAACGTTCGTACATTGTGGGAGACTGGAAGACTATTTCAAGTTGCGGCAGAAATGAAAAGATACAACCTCGAGGTGCTTGGAATCAGTGAAACACATTGGACACAAGTAGGACAACAGAGACTAGCTTCAGGGGAACTGCTGTTATACTCTGGTCATGAAGAGGAAAATGCTTCACATACACAAGGAGTTGCATTGATGCTGTCCAAACATGCACAAAAGGCACTAATAGGATGGGAATCTCATGGACCCAGGATCATTAAAGCATCCTTCAAAACAAAGAAACAGGACATTACAATGAACGTCATCCAATGTTATGCACCTACCAACGACTACAATGACGACGACAAAGATCAATTCTACGAAAGGCTGCAGTCAATCGTCGAGAAATGTTCACCAAAGGATTTGACGATTCTTATGGGAGACCTGAATGCCAAGGTTGGAATGGATAACACTGGATATGAAGACATCATGGGACGACATGGACTGGGAGAAAGAAACGAAAACGGTGAGAGATTTGCAAACCTATGTGCCTTCAACAAACTGGTCATCGGTGGCACAATATTCCCGCACAAACGCATACACAAAGCTACATGGATTTCACCGGATCACACTACTCAAAACCAGATTGATCATATCTGTATCAACAAAACGTTCAGAAGGACTATGGAGGATGTGAGAACCAGGAGAGGAGCTGATGTAGCCTCAGATCACCATTTGCTAATCGCCAAAATGAAACTGAAACTAAAGAAGCACTGGACAACGGGGCAGACAACATCACACAAGTTTAATACAGCCTTTCTTCGGGATACTGTAAAGCTCAACGAATTCAGGATAGCCCTCACCAATAGGTTCCAGGCCTTTCAGGATCTACTCAATGGAGAGGACGCAACATGGAGAGAAATCGGAAAGGGATTAAGGAGGCAATCACTTCAACATGTCACGAAGTTCTTGGTCACAAGAAGTACCATCACAAGGAATGGATCTCTGTTGATACTCTTGCAAAAATTGAGGAAAGGAGGAACAAGAAGGCAGCAGTGAATGTCAGCCGAACAAGAGCAGAGAAAGTTACCGCACAAGCTGCATACACAGAAGCAAACAGGGAAGTGAAGAAGAGCATCAGAGCTGACAAACGAAAATATGTGGATGATCTAGCAATGACGGCGGAAAAGGCTGCAAGAGAAGGAAACTTGAGACAATTGTACGAAACAACAAAGAAACTGGCGGGAAACTATCGTAAGCGGCAAAGCAGCAGGACCAGACAACATTCCAGCAGAGGCAATGAAAGCAGATGTAGAAGCAAATGCAAAAATATTTCACATCCTCTTCAAGAAGATTTGGGATGAGGAACAAGTACCATCAGATTGGAAAGAAGGATACCTGATCAAAATACCAAAGAAAGGCGATCTCAGCAAGTGTGAGAACTACAGAGGCATCACTCTTCTTTCAATACCAGGCAAAGTCTTCAACAGTGTTGTACAATGAAGGACTTTGTGGACGCCCGACTTCGAGATCAACAGGCTGGACTTCGTAAGGACCGATCGTGTACTGACCAAATTGCTACATTACAGATCATTGTGGAACAATCAATTGAATGGAACTCACCACTCTACATCAACTTCATCGACTACGAGAAGGCATTCGATAGCGTGGATAGGAAAACACTGTGGAGGCTTCTTCGACACTACGGTGTGCCTGAGAAAATAGTCAACATCATACGGAACTCTTATGATGGATTCAACTGCAAAATCGTACACGAAGGACAGCTAACCGACTCTTTCGAGGTGAAGACCGGTGTCAGGCAAGGTTGCTTACTCTCACCCTTTCTCTTTCTCCTGGTCATCGACTGGATTATGAAAACGTCAACATCTGGAGGGAAGCACGGTATCAACTGGACAGTTAGGACGCAGCTGGACGATCTGGACTTCGCAGATGATCTGGCTCTTCTATCGCACACTCAACAACAAATGCAAGAGAAGACGACCAGTGTAGCAGCAGCCTCTGCAGCAGTTGGTCTCAACATACATAAAGGAAAGAGCAAAATTCTCCGATGCAACACAACATGCACCAACCAAATCACTCTTGATGGAGATGCCTTGGAGGACGTTAACACCTTTACATATCTGGGCAGCATCATCGACAACCAAGGTGGATCCGATGCAGATGTGAGGGCACGGATTGGCAAAGCTAGGTCTGCATATCAACACTTGAAAAATATCTGGAACTCCAAACAACTTTCAACCGAAACCAAAATCAGGATTTTCAATAAAAATGTCAAGACAGTTCTACTGTATGGAGCGGAAACTTGGAGAACTACCAAAGCCATCATCCAGAAGATACAAGTATTTATGAACAGCTGTCTACGCAAAATACTTCGTATTCGTTGGCCAGACACGATCAGCAACAACGAACTGTGGGAGAGAACAAACCAGATTCCATTTGAAGAGGAAATCAGGAAGAAGAGGTGAAAGTGGATGAAAAACACACTACGAAAAGCACCTAACTGCGTCACGAGACAAGTCCTCACATAGAACCCTCAAGGCAAAACGAAAAGAGGAAGGCGAAAGAATACATTACGCCTAGAAACAGAGAAAGATATGAGAAGAATGAACAAACAGTGGACAGAACTGGAAAGGGAAGCCCAGGACAGAGTTGGTTGGAGAAAACTGGTCGGCGGCCTATGCTCCATTGGGAGTAACAGGCGTAAGTAAGTAAGTAATATGTGTAATGCTGGAGAGTTTCAATACTAGTGCGCTGGATGCTACTCGTAAAGTGGCTCATAGGTAGTAGGCGGCGGAGTGTCACCTAGAAGTTACCACTGACGAGAATAGTGACTGATTCGGATGTGCGGAAAGATCAGAGCATTTATAAAACTAGAAGGCGTGTCAAAGAGAAGACAGCTCAACAATCTTAATACAACCCTATGCTGAAAAATATTATTTCTTATTTAATGAATTAAGAATTTCAAGCATTTAAGTAAACTTTCCATTTTAAATTGTTTACTAGATATTATGGTTAAAAATTAAGCCCAGGACAGAGTTGGTTGGCGAAAACTGGTGGGCGGCCTATGCTCCATTGGGGGTAACAGGCGAAAGTAAGTAAAGTAAGTAATGGTTAAAAATTGTGTGAGGTATTTTACTAGTGACCTCTAAATGGCATCAAAAAATCTAATGTCGTACAAATAAATAAGGCAGATTTAAAAACTGATTTAACTTACTCAAACTTCAGACAAGTTAGTGAGTGATTCAAGGCTCTATCAGACCTACACACATACAAGATGAGCTTCGATGAAGAACGCGACAAATTCACACAAGTTACATCTTTAGAGAAAAATTTAATTGTTATCATATAAATATTGCTTATTCCATGAACGTTTATATCGTGATTTAAAAAAAAAACACAGAAACTCACGGTATCCAAATTGACTGGAGGATGAGATAAAGTATCTTCATGGCTAATTTGCCTACGTCGTAAATACATTGTCTGTGCAGCACGTACATCATCGATACCATTTTGAAGAGTATTATTTGAACGAGCTGATGCTGCCGATGCCGCGGCCGACGTAATACGAGCAACACCACCACCACCTTTTGCACGTATTCTCTCTGCTATCGTTAAACTACGCCGTGTATGACGAGGATTAGGACGTGTAGATCTACCAGCACCACTGCCACTGACTCCAACACCACTAGATATTGGATATCTAGGAGTGGGAATTGTTTCGTGCAATAAAGATTGTTCATCAGGTGACTGATTTTCTTGATTTTCATCAGCAGGATTACTCGGTGGATCGAAGTCAACATGCGAATTGCTTTCAGTTTCATCAGCATCACCATTAACTAGCACCGATTCCTCTTCTACAACATTATCATCAAAAATTAGTAAGATATTATGATAAACACCAATCAGTGAACAAGAAAAAACGAAGACCAAATAAGTACATTATCCTTGTACAGGCTCTTTACTCGAACACTACTGCTCGAATGAGAGCTTGTAAGGAACTGTCATCGGTATTGATTACCTCGAGTGGTGTTTATCAGGGTCCATTCCTATTCGTTGACCTGCTTCTAGAGATGATTCTTCTCCTTCAAATACAAAGTGCTGTTTAAGGACTTGCTTGTGTCGGCACCTGAACTATCTCGGGAGTCTCATCAGTGCTGATTGTCAGGTGTCTGACCACATCCCAGCTCGCATACAAAAGGCTCGATTGGCTTTTGCTAACTTGCATCACTTACGGCATAGACGAGATATTCGTCTACTAAACAAAGGACGAGTGTACTGCGCAGCAGTTCGCTCCGTCCTACTATATGGCTGTGAAACATGACCAGTAAGAGTAGAGGATATTTTTAGGCTATTAGTGTTTGATCATTGATATATTTGATGCATTGCTGGTATATCCTGGGACAGTCGAGTAAGCAATATAGTTGTTAGGAAACGAGTACTAGGTATGGATGGCAAATCAGTTGATGAAGTGATGAATGGTCATCAGTTGAAATGGTTGTTTGGCTTCATATAGAGTGATGGGTTAGTTAGAAAGCATGAGATATAAAGAATATTGAATATGTCTCAGTGAATAGAAATGAATAACAAGCATAATGCAGTTCCTTATTGTAATGTGCAGTTATCTCTTTTGTTATAATTGAGTTATATGCAATATAAAATCTAGCATAGTCAGTCATTTGCAATGTACAACTTAATAATAATTCAGTCTGATAGCCAATATTATCTTCATGAAATATGATTGAATGTCTGGGATTTGGATGCTCCTAGCTTCTACACACGAGCCGCTATTGCCCACAGAGATAACTGGACGTAATATACATGTCTTAATTATCTCAGCCGATAAAAAATTCACTACCTCGTGAAACGATATTATCGGAACCACTGTCTTGGAACTATAGAATACGAAAATTCATTGTCCAATGTCAAGTATATATATATATATATATATATATATATATATGGCAACATGAAAATATCAGTACAAAAACTAACAGAAACAAACGTTAGGAATTTTTAACACAGAGTTGGATAGTGGCAACTGATGCAATCTAGGACACGTGTTCTGGGCTATTCTAGACTGACTACTTGTCGATTTTATGCACCCGCAGTTGAGTGATAATATTTACTCCAAGACTCAGGTTCTTAGTGCTTTTCATTGCATTATACCCAATGGCATTAATCGAACTGACAAGAAACATCTACTTTGAGCAAACAGTTATCCAAATATGTCAATTTATTTGTTCAGTCTTATACTGACTTATTTTCGTTTATTGAACTGATCCTATTGTTGAAATCTATTAATCGGATAATTAACAAACCGTATCCTAATAATCGATGATGAATGAATGATTTTACATGACATATTTCTAAATTATTACAGCTGCTAATGAAAGTTCAAAAATTTATCAACTGATTTACGATTTATTGACTAGTATTCAGTTTCACTATGGAAACAGTAATACTTTGAAAAGTATAGTGAAACTATGATTTATGGATGAACCTATCAGATTTAAAACAACAAATTTTTGGATTTCATAGTAAAATTCATTCATGTATATGGCTAAACAGTATTTCAGTTGATCTGAGCTTTTGATGAAAATCTACACTTCAGTGCTTCATCCTCACTTATAATTCTTAATACGAATTCTAAATTCCCCATTAATTTACAATCCTCTTTAGACATCTTAGTAAGTAGGCGAGTCTTCACAGGGTCACTTTGATGTGGCACAGAGGTCGTTCATAAATTTCGGTCTCATCGATAAGCATCTGCCATTAAATGTAATTGTAACCCATGCGTGAGCTTTTAAATTTCAATAACATCATGTCACTTCGACCAACTCCATGTAAACCGAAGGGCGAAATGACAAAAGAAGAAAAACCAAACTGCTCATACTGTGAAAAACACTACATTGGACAAAGTGGACGTCCTCTTCATTTTCGCCTACATAAACATTAAGTAACAGTCAAACACCATGACATCTCTTCCCTTATATTAATACATAGGAACAACTGCAGAAATACATTCATTTGGAAAAATGCTGGAGTACGGGATAGAGGTAGTATAAAGAACCACAGAGAATTTTTAGAAGCTTGGCACTCAGGTCAATCAACATTGATCCAATTTATTAACCAACCAGAAAAATCCTAGACAAACATAGGATCAAGATAAAGACGAAAGAAGGATACAATCAAAATAAAGAGGCAGCCAATGACACGGTAAAAGTCAACAACACCCAATTAAAACCAAGGTCAAAAGAACAAGATACGAGTCATACGTAGGAAATACTTCACTTCTTCTACCTGAAGTTAGTGCTGTTGATGATGTTATTAGGAAGAACAATGAAAGCTCCACAACCAAAACATCCAGTTCAGAGAAAGAAACTCCATCATAATGTGTTCTTTTTCCCCTCAACATATTTAAAGAGAATCGAAATAATGACGATAATAATGATCAATAAATATTATCATTAGTATTACTATACTTACCCTCACTTGATGGTTCGTCCCCATCGTTGAATGTATCAGAACCAGCAGCGGCAGTAGAGTGTGGAGGAGATGTTTGCGATCGAGATCCCTTGTTGATATAGTGAGTTTTAAAAAAGATTTTAAGACAAAAGAAACGGTTTAAAATTCAACGTGTACCCAAATAGTCATTGTCTACATAACGGACTATTTAATTATCGATGAAAAAACCCAACCGGTTTTATTTAAACAACCCACACACTCACAAACATACTCTAATGTAAATATGACCATTAAACATCATTTACGATATTTAGTTTTTTATAAGTAGCAAAAGACATGACATTATGTAGAATATATTCCTGAACACTATTTATAGTATTCAACAAAACATACATGTTTGAAAGTATAAACAGCAAATTGTTACATTGAAAAAAAAGACACTGAAGTATGGTCAAACATACAAATTATGATAATATTCAATTAAGAGATATGGATGTAGTCAACCAGTCAGTTATAAGTAATGTAAAACTTGAGACGTAGTTCGAGTGCTGTTAAGAGTATGAGGGCGGATACCACTTTCCGGCTGCCCACACAGAGGAACGGTATTTCCTCAGAAACCTGAAAAAGAAGTCGGACAAGCGTTGATCTTAGAGACCTGGGAGCGTGACCACAGAGCTCAAGGGATAACTGCTTGAGGACGGATGTCCACGGCCTTTCTATGGAAAGTTTCTGGAGTGGTAGCTCTGCTATTCAAAAGGCCTTACCTCCGGAGATGGAAACCTGTGAGGTAAGGTGAGGTATGACATTTTTAGGGTCGACATTTTCTAACCCCTTCCTTCCGTTGTGAGAAGGCAACATAGCCGCAGATGCTGATTGTCCTAAGGAAACACCTTACTGCTGTCACACCCCTCTACACTCAACAGAACGACTTCACTCTGAAACCTGGAGTTGTTGCTTTTAGTCTTACCGTTCTCCAATCGATCTGTCAGGAGTGGTTTGACCTAGAGGAGTATGTGTTCCAGCCAATATAGTCTGGTTAGGTGATCACAATAGACAAGCACGATTACCACATCAAAGTAGCAGCTACGGTCGGGTGATAGAAATCTAGACCAGTTTAGGTTTCCATGCTGGGCAGCGTTACTTGAGTTCATGGACCATTGATTACGACGGTCATGAGCACACCAACCAGGTAATTTACATACACTTTTTTAATTTAGTTTAATAATTAGTATCTTTTTGAACTGGTTGCATGTCTTGATTTGGCTGTCCTTAACTTCTACAACAACAAACCACTGCCCGTCGAGGTAGTCAGAGGATAAATAAACGTAATATAAGTGTTTTAAACACTTTAATAGATGAAAATTCAATACCCCATCAATCGATTTGCTACTCCTATAACCAGTAATCTAAGTGTAACCTCAGAACCAACAACTTAATAGTCCAATAGTGTAGAAGTAATGGTCCGAACACACCTATGATTGAATAATAGCAATCTATGAATATGCTCTATTCGTATAGGTTGTGTTTGGCAGACAAAGTAGAATAGAGATTACTACTATGCAATAAACTCACTCTTTAGTTGGCAGACGGATATCTTGCCTACGTCACAAGTGATGCAAGCTGACAATTGACAAGAGGACTTTTCGAAGCAGTGCCGAGATTCCTTCAAACACCAACCAACTAGGGTTGATGCGACTTTAACAATAAATGAAATATTTTACATACACTCAACTATTTTACTTTCTATCATTAGTCTAGGTAGATTAATTTTTAAAGCCACTACTTTTCATTTAAAGCGAGAAAAAAGCATCTCAAACATGCTATCAATGTTGCTTGAGGTAGGACAAAAAACTTTGCACTTTTTTTCAGTTTCTTCGTCAGACATCCATTTCAATTCCTAATAGCATATCGATTCCTGATAAATCACGCCACGGAGTTTTACTCGGTTTCTTTTTTTCCTTTGTGTTTTTAGTATATGCATATCTAAAGTAATAAATCGATAAGTAGAAGTGAATATTGTAAAACTAAGCTCGATTTTTTTGGCTGAGACAAAAGAAAATTAATCAAGTAATCTATACTGAACTCACGATAACGAATAACATGTACATGTAAATATACATATATATATATATATATATATATATATATATGAAGATATATTACCTCAGATAAAGGATGATACCATGTAGTTCGATGATTTTGATGATCAACATAATATACACGACCATTTGCATCAGTTCGCTGTTCCCATCCATCCGGTAATCGACTATAATATATACAAATATAAGCAGTCAAGAACAAATAAAAGAATAATTTGTTTAGGGAATAAAAAAAACTAATGTAAAACATGAAATGTGAATGTTCATTAATCAATTCGTCAATATGCATAGGTTCTGCATTTAAAAGTTTGAGTGCTACATTGTTTGTTTGTTTGTATAAAGACAAATGATGACATTCAATCGCATTTTAGATATTGATGATGTACATTAAATTTATTCATTCCGAATATTTGAAAACTTCTTAGAAAAAAAAAAACTAGAACAATATCTATACATCATTGAATGAGCCTGTTGAAATGAAAAGCTAGTAGAGTACGTTGAATGTCATTTAGAAATAGATAAGTTTAGAGAGTCAGTTCTTGACAATGAACAAAATGGCATATCGATTCAAGTTACTGTACTGCGCAGTAGTTCCCTCTGTCTTACTTTATGGCTGTGAAACATGGCCAGTGAGAGTAGAAGGTATTCGTCGGTTATCGGTTTTCGATTATAGGTGTCTTCGAAGCATTGCTCGTATATCCTGGGACACCCGAGTGAGCAACGCTGTTATTAGGAAACGGGTGCTAGGTAAGAATGGCAGATCAATAGATGAAGTGGTGAAACTTCATCAGTTGAGGTGGTTGGGACATGTGTGTTACGGATGCCTAACCACCGACTGCCTCGACGAGCTTTGTTTTGTAGTGTAGGAATAGGTTGGAAGAAAGTTAGGGGCGGCCAAACCAAAACATGGCAACAATCCATGGAGTCATTGACAAGTGGACTGAGTCATGTCGGTATTTGTCGACTACCTGGTTAGGGTCCTCGAGATGATAATAATCGATGGTTAGAGACTCTGAATGACATGGCTCAAAACCGTTTGCAATGGCGCCGGTGCATTTATTCTTTGTGTTCTCTCAAATCCTAATCTTCTGGATTCTTCAACACCTCTAGTTTTGACTTTCTAAACTTTTCTCACTGAATCATACTTCTTGAATAATATCTTCTAACCCTAACCTCTCCGATTACTTCTAATACCTTTACTGCCTCTTCTACTATTGGATTTGAATTGATAATTATATCTCTGCTGATGTGGTATGGCAACATGAACTGATCTACTTACGTAGAAAGTTCTACGTTGCACCCGACTGACTGACCACTGTACAATATCAACACAGTAAGATAAAATTATCAAAAGTAGTACTGGCATTATTTATCAGTAATAATAAGGAATATTAAGCCCAAACAAGAAGGACAGTTTCGCAGAATAAAATGTATTATTGTCGGTATAGGTTTGCAGAAGTTGTTAAATTTCACTGAATTCATGAACCGATCAGTGTTAGACTACCATGGAAAACCTGGAATCGCCAAAAAAACGTTTAGTCATAGTATAAGTGGGACCCCTCAGGAATGTGCATCTAAGACCCTGCAAGTAAGAATCAAACCCAGGATTTTCGGTCTTGTGTAGGAAGGCTTGACCTCTTGATCACTGAGCCAGCAGTAATGTCCAACTTCAATCAATCTACGATATTGCGCGACCATTATCCACCATTGTCTTAGGTGGGTAACTGCCTCATACCCGACATGGTTGAACTCCACTAATCACGGCTTCTCACAGTTTTAGTAAAACTAGACAGTGTTTACCATTCTAAAATGATAAAGTTAATTATTTGATCCATAGACAAGGATTTAGGACGAGTGTGGTTCAATGGTTCAAGCTTTTCAATGTTCAGTTAATTAAGGGAAGGGGTCATAATAATAACAATAATAATAATAATATCTATTTCACTTTAAATGTACACTGTTTAACAGCAAGTGTACCGATGTATGAATATGTAGACTGAATATCTTTTGTTTCAACAGAGATCAACCCAATGGCACATAACTACGGACGAAGAAATTATATAAGGTCGGGAAAGGTGATACACCGATTAAGGCTCTCGATCTTCAGTTGTAGGTTTGAACCTCAAACTACATGCTAGTCTATTGGTAGTTGGATAGCATTACTAGCTCTCATATGTGAAGCGTGGCTCCAAGTACACGAACCTGCACCCAGTAGTAGTTAAGCTAATGACATAAAATTTTCCCGTTTCTCAATGTTTGATATCCTTTATAAATTGAAATTAACACTCATTTCATAAATTACTGATAATTAGCTAGACGGAAAAAACAACAGAAGATTGCTTACAAAGAAGGTCTATCCCATTGTGTACGTTTATTAACATGATCTACATAATATGTACGTCCATTTTGATCAACTCGTTCATCCCAACCTGGTGGAAGTGGATCAGTTATCATGTCAACAGAAGATGAGTTTTCATCAAGTGATGTAGAAAGCATGGGTCCAACAACAGTCTCAGCAACACTGACAGTATCTGAATCTATTGAAATATTTCTATTAACACGTTCATGGTTATCGGTATCATCGTCTATAGTGTTGGACATATCAACCGTGCCAGGACTTGGCGATGATTGTGTCGGTAAACTAGGACGATGTGAAGAAGATACAGGTGTTGAGGATAGTTGACCTTCACTATTACGTTGTTGGTCAGATGGCTATAAACAAAAGATTAAAGTTCAGAAAACAATTAATTAAGCAGTTTAAAAAATGGGTCATTTTATAAACAGCTCAAAAGAGAATACAGATATGGAAGGTCATTTTAAAAGTTGTTTTTTTTCTTCAAAATAACAAGTGATATTACAGAGTCTTTGATAAGTGAACAGGGTTTATAGTTGGATGAATGAATGCTGATTAATAAGATGGATGCAGTGATACGATGTTACACTTCTAAACAGCTTGTTATCCAAATCTGTTTAGGTAGCCAAATAGTATAACTAGTGCTTAGGCAATAGTGTATGTACCTTAGAGCCGAGCACGAAAGCTTATAATTGATAAAGGACTCTAATGGAAAAATGATGTTTAAGTTAAGATCTCTGAAAGTGATAAGTTTTATTTTGTTCGAATGTGTAAAATCGTAAGAGAAAGCAAAACATTACTGATGCAATGGTTTAGCGATTAAACTTTGACTTTTAGTTAACAAGTCTCAGTTTCGAATCTCGCTTCATTTATTTCGATTTCGACAACCAGATAGTATCATTCATCGTCACACTTGAAATTCGGATCATACATCACAAGTACTTACCGAATTAGTTAGACACTTTTTTAGAAGCACACAATTGAACAGATTAGAACAAATTGAAAACACTTTAGATTGAATAATTTTCACATAAGAAATTACAACTCAGTTACTGATAAACTGTTGGGATAGCCATTCGAGAAGAAAGCCACGCACATTATGGATTGATTAACTATATGAATAATGTTCTTGATGAACTATATGATTAATGTTCATGATAAACTATTCGATTAATGATGAACTATATGATTATTGTTCATGATGAACTATTTGATTCATGTTCAAAATAATTAACGACATTTATATAATTGTATAAATACGCATGATTGATTGTATATTTTTGATTCTGATAATAAGCGTTCTCCAACGTCTTCCGTCTTCTTATTTTTGAACGGAGGGGTCTAACGTTCGGTGTGTCATTAGTACAGTGGTTTGGCGTTACATCAAGTAGAAAAACATAAAATAAACAAAATGACATGATGCTACATAAACAACCCGATAGATCTCAACGGATTTCCTACCATCACATTTTTCTCATGTCAATGATTCTTTTTGTTTTATCGTAGATCAATCTACGACGACAACTTACATTGCATAAAATTGAAAAGGAGTCCCGATAACTGTATTTTACTGAAATACTTAATGTTTGTCGCAAAACTATCAAACAAAAGAAATTCTCATTAGTTTGTTAAATCAAAAATCCGGAAGTCATAACCAACGTACGACCCAGTACAGATGTGCATCTGCTCAAATTTCCACAGTATATCATCACACAGAGGTAGTAAATGAGTTCTGACAGTGGAAGTATCAAAGATCACGTATAGCCTACATCATCATCATCAACAGCAACGTAGAACTTAGTGAGCACGTACATCAATTTAATTTGCCATACCACATTAGCACAGGGATGTAATGGTCAATTCAAACCACACAGTAAAATTATTAGCAGTAATCGGGAATTTTACGGTTCGAAGATATTATTCAAGAAGTAGAATCTAGTGAAATAAACTTGAAAAGATAAAGTGATGAGGAATTCAGAAGGTTAGGATTTCAGAGAACACAAATAAATGCACCTGCGCCATTGCACACGATTTTGGGCCATGTCATTCAGGGTCTCTAACCATCGATTATTATCGTCTCCTGGGCAACAACCAGGTAGTTAACACCTACCGACATGACTCAATCTACTTGTCAGTGACCTCATGGATTTCTGCCGTGTTTTGGTCTGACCGCCCCTAGCTTTCTTACAACCTATTGCTGAATCACAAAACATAGTTCGACGAGGCAGTCGGTGGTTAGGCATTCGTAACACATGTCCCAACCACCTCAACTGATGAAGTTTCACCACTTCATCTATTGACCTGCCATCCTTACCTAGTACCTGTTTCCTAACGACAACATAGCTTACCCAGCTTCCCCACGATACACGAGCAACGCTTCAGAGACACCTATGATCGAAAATCAGTAACATACGAATACCTTCTACTCTGACTGGCCATGTTTCACAGCCATATAGGAGAACGGAGCGAACTGCTGTGCAGTGCATTCGTCTCGCCTACGTCATAAGTGACGCAGGTTGGCAAAAGCCAGTCGAGGCTTCAGTATCCGTGCTGAGATTTCGTCAATCATCAGGCCATCAGCACTGATGAGACTCCCGAGATAAGTAAAGCGGTCAACATGCTCAACTGCTCTACTCCCTATCACTAGTTCAGGTGCCGATACAAGCCAATCCTGAAGCAAAATTTTGCATTTCGACGGGAAGAATAGCATCCCGAACATGCATTTTTGCTTAGGGTGGTCAGACGACAAAGCATTACGTCAGCGTCTTCACCAAGTAGGACTATGTCATCGTCATATTCTAAGTCAACCAATGAATCTCCTGGTAGAAGGTTCACCTGTGAAAATTCAGACGAAGATAATGTTATATCTAGGAGCATGTCTATGACAAAATTGAGCAAGAATGGGGAAAGTGGACATCCCTGACCTACACCACTTGAAGTATAGAATTCCGATGACAGTTCGCCATAAGCCCTCACTCGACCAGTGGTGTTCTAGTAGAAAGCTTGTATGAGATTAGTGTACTTCTTTGGTACACCTTTCAATGACAGACACTTCCACAAAACCTCATGATCCACAGAGTCGAATGCCGCCTTAAGGTCCAGGAACACAACTATTGTAGGACGTCTAAATGTGCGTCTGTGTTCCAGGACCCGTCGCAGTGTGAGGATGTGATCTATACAGCCACGTCCAGGTCTGAAACCAGCCTGGTTTTCTTGAGTTTGCTCTTCACGAGCTCTAAGGATAATCGAGGCTAACAATTTAGAAACTATATTAGTTATACTGATTCACCTGTGATTGTCACGAGAAGACTTTTGTCCTTTCTTATAAAGTGGGACAATCAGGAATCGAGACCAGTCGAATGGGATTAGGCCCAGTCCCAAGATTCTACCTAAAATCTCGGTCAATCTAACCGTTAAAACTGGACCATCATCCTTAGAAATCTCAGAGGTCAATCTATCAGAGCCCGATGCTGTCTCTCGCTTCAGATTTCCTATAGCTTTCTCAACTTCATAAAGACTCAGACAACTTACGTCGATTTGCCTTTCAGGATGACTGGAGATCGTGGGTAACCGTAATGTGGCTGAAGGCCGATTGAACTGATCCCTAAAGTGTTCTGCCCACCGATCTAATCTCCTTGATTGAGAACGAACAATAGTCCTCTCATTTTCCGAGATAGTTTCACTCACATTCGGCTTCCTAATACCAGGTCTATTGATGAGCCTGAATAGTAGTCTACTGTCGCCTATTACCGCTGCCTTTTCCATCTCCCTTGCCTTCGCTACTCACTACTGTTCGCGATCATTGCGTAGGCCTTTTATCAGCCTGCGCCTGAGCTGAATCCGCTCCTCATCGCACTCAGAGCCAGGCTGGATAACCTTTCGAGCATCCATCAGTCCGGTAGATGCTACTGAAATCCAAAGCTTCTCCCTAACCTTATGGTTCGCCTTACTAGTAGATATCATTGCTGTTTCCACAGCCTTTTTGATATCATTCCAAGCTATCTCCGGACGGGAATCGCTTACATGGTCACCTAACTGTTTCTCAGGTTGTTCGTGAAATATATTCATAGCTCTACTATCATTAGGTAGGATCCTAAGAGGTTTTCTGGCGGTGTCTTTCCTACGTCCAGTAAGTAGTAAACAAATACGTGTTCGCACTAGAGCATGATCTGAATTTAAATATGTGCCACAGAACGACCGACAGTCCTCTATCGAACCTTTGCATCGGTGGCTGATGGCAATGTCATCTAGTTGGGTGCAGCGTTGGGATGATTTTGGGAGTAGCCAGGTCAAAAAGTGTTTTACCCTATGCATAAAGTTAGTGTTCATTAGGGATAGGTGGTTATCTGAGCATAGCTGCAACAGACGGTTGCCATCATCTGTTCTCTAAGCCGTGACATCATAAGATCCACCAAGGGGTTTTCCTTTCCGCTCAGTCTACCTACTTGAGCATTCAAGTCACCAGCCATTATAACTATATCAGAGTTCCTAACTTTTTGGAGGAGGTCCAAAAGATTTCTGTAAAACTCATCTTTCACCTCGTCTGAGCTGCAGTCAGTGGGAGCATAGGCAGACACGACGAAAAGGTAACGGCGAGTTTCCCTATCTTTACGAGTCCGTACTGTCCCGTTTAGTCGGATAGCGCATAAGACACTGTCTACCGAGATCCAGTCTAAGTAGCTTGTTCAGCCCTAGGACTTAATACTATACCTACGCCAGCGAGGCCACGGGAAGCAGAATCAGGGCTACCTGAAACACGAAGCGTAAACCGTGTTGTTTCTCTATCTCTACATGGTGAAATCCAATTGATGATTTTACTCGGATCTTGTATGCGTGTTTTGGAGACGCAACATACATCGATCGCCCGCGATTCCAGGGTTATAGCTAATGTTGCCCTATTCGGCACAAGGTTAGAACAATAAAAGCTCCAATACGTAATTTAGTACGGGGCTTCAGGAGAACAGGGATAACGTTTCGTGAGCTCAGACCGTTTGATTCAGCTGCCCGAGATGACAAACGATCGAAGGAAGAGTTGGTTGAGGAGATAAGAGTTATTAGGAGATATAGAAAGGATTTGATTGTGACCAATTTGATCTCGTGTGCTTTTATGGGTATGAGGGCGGATGTTGCTTCCCGTCTGCCGACACCATGGAAGGGTTCTGGTTGTCGGAAGAAGCATCGGCGCCATGACTTCCGAAGGAACTTGGATTTCATCATGAGACGTCATAACTCTTCTAAATGAAGACCTTCTAACTCCCAGAGCAAAGTTTGAATTATTTTTTCTTGTTAGCTTTTTGTGAGATGGGGTATCCAACTCCAATCCCAGCCCTCCTTTATCCGGGCTTGGGACCGGCAGTAGCCCCGAAGGGTCTACAGCCTACATAAACCTCAAGTAAATGTTTAACAGAATAACTTGAAAAGATTTATAACTAGAACTCATTAATTGCATAAAAACCGGTGCACAATTTCATGAACTACATCAATATCATGAGGTAATCTCTTCGTTGATGGAATGATGGTTAGATAGATGTTCTATGCTCAATAATAAACAATTTGATGCGACACAGAACCCGAGAAATATACGTTGGTTCAAGTGCGTGAACGAAATCCGCACAAAAAGATGAAGTTATCAAGAAAAAGAACATAAAAGTAGGAATGGTATTAATATTATTAAATATATATAAATTTAATAAAAATGGAAACACTAACTACTGATCGGAAATAATAGAAAAATACAAAACATATTTAAGTCAATTCCAAACACGACAAGTGATAAGAAACAATATCGGTGAGCTTATCAAGTGCTGAAATTATCGTAAATCAATAAGTTTGCTTAAATCTCAAAACGACTTACCAATTCAACAATAGGGGGAAGTTCACGAAGACTTGTGATTCGGGAATTTACATGACTAGGTAAGTAAGCCAAATACAAGTGAAGATTACCACGAACACGAGATCGAGAACTGAGGAACATGGAAAAACAACACAAGATATATTTTAATAGAAAGCGGAAAACTACTAATTGCTTCGAAAGTGATAATTTTTCGAAAATATGCAGGAAGTTAATATTGCTTAGCTATCTTTTAAAACTTTAAATACAAAACAGAATTTTTTACTCTAAAAATTACCTATTATCACTTAAAGGATTAAAATTTGTAAACAAGAAAACAAGAAATGATCACCTTTGAAAAGCTTTCGATATGAACTGCTGTTATTCCAAACCAAATTTAGACGACGATGTAAGTGCTGAATGAACATTTTCTGGACTTAAACACAATGAACTATTGATAACTGTTAATCTCATCATAACTTTCACTACAGTACATGATCAAGTTTCCAGTCTTCTACTATGCAAATACAGCAAGGATATATATATATATATATATATATATATATATATATATATATGCGAATGATACACCAACAGAAGTTGGAAAACCTTAGTACCAAACCATTAGTACACATAGACTCCACGATCCTGAAACAACAAAAGCAGTATGAACCTACTCTTGGTCACCGGCTGCCATAGGACTGCATCTCAGAACGTCGCTCCACTGTCTTATGAATTAGGTATCTGATTAACGTTTCTGCTTTACTGTGCAACATAAGGACTTCTAGAATTCATAAGTATATAGTGAACTGGAAACGAATCATATTTCCTGTCTACTGTTAAGCAGTAAACAACCTCCTTGTAGTAGGATGCCGTGATTAAATAAACCATTTTATATTCTGTCCATCATTAAACTCAGAAAGATGAGATAGTTAAATGCAGATGAAAGTAATATTTAGTAATAAATCACCAAGAACTCAATTTTGTATACCTACTATAATAGATATTTTACTAGGACCCTACATATTATTCAACTAATCATACGAATCCTGAAATATTAAATCATTATGTCAAACAGGTGCATATCACATTTACAATTGATATATTAGTATGAAGATGACTAAAAATTAGCCAGTGATGTGAATATATTCGCTTTTATTTAAATCCTAAGGATAAAATACCTTTCTGCCTGACTGAAAAGACTACTTAAGAAAAAAGAGTGCTATCTGCATGTTAACCAATGTATGCATCTAAAACTACTATCTAAAATACGAACTAGGTATAAAGCGATCAAGTATTAAAAACCATGTAGAGATCATAATAACAGTTATTTTTCAAGGTTCCCAGTGTGGTACGAATTTATCAGATGGCAATAATGGGAAGGAACACTTGATTATTGATGATATCTTATTTGTTAACCTCTTGATAGAGTAACATTATCTCTATACATTCACTCTGTATACCGGAGTAGAATGAGAAAAAGCTATATAATGGACTGTATCTCCTCTGTAACACAAAAAGCAAGACCAAACCTAAAAAGGTTCCCATAAATTCTAAGGATCGACCCCTACAGCGATACTACACTCGTGTCATAATAGATCATCTACAAACAAAAATACCTTCTAGGGCGCAGTAGAAAGCTCTTCGCCATCAACCGACTATTAGATCCCTCCGTACCAATCTCCAAATATGGCAGAAAGACTGTGACCATGCCCAAAAAGTCATCCCTTGTCTAGGTGATCATAATTAGTGAATTGTTTTAACTTACGATCCTATTTTCATCGTAAAGCTCAAAAACCAAACGGTTTTCGGAAGGATTAACCTGAAAATTAGGAACTCAACTCAGAATAGGTTACCCTGAAAATAAATTCTTCATTCCATATTGGATTCAGTGATCTTTTAACAGTTTTTGTTGGTACTGGAGAACACAATGGTAGGTTTGAACGCTGAGTTTTATATAAACATATTTTGCAGTATGGGTCACTAAAAGCCATTGAAAAATGAAAAAATAAAACACACCTTGCTCCGAAAATATCCTTTTTCATAAGATCCAAAGCCCGAATTACACGAACTCTGAGTAAACGGGTTTCCGCGTTGCACTGAAAAATTCAGTTTTATCATAAGAAACCCACTAATGAAAGCGGCAAGCCGTTAACTTCTAGATGCTTTCTTACACAGACTGATCTCGAAGGTACGTTTAGAACCATGAAACATTTAGAAGAGTAAACTGAAGTGTCCACACGAACCAAAACACGAGCTTATTTCTTTGGTTGTTCAACGTTACAAGGAAGTTTATCTTCATATTTACTTCAAATAGTTCCAATAACCAATATCTTTTCCACGAGGCAGTATAAACCAATCGACTTCTTTGACCTCGATTCTTGTTTTTTCGTTACAGTTTCAGGTGTATGGCAATATCTATTGGATGATAGTCTAGCCACTCGACTACACTAATTCTAGCCAGTTGGCAGTTATTTATGAATTTTTATATCCCGTAATTTTAATAAGCGCCTGTCCAAGAGAGAGATGATAATCAATATGTGAGTACGTGTTTGTCAATTATCTTCTAAAAGCTATTGCGAGCATTCCGTGTACCGACAACCCTTAATGAGAAAATGCCTGCGCGAACCTGGGTGTTTGCTCTTTAATGTTCAGTTTTCGAGGATTACCTAAAGTAGCGTAATGATGATGCTTCGGCAAAGTACTCAAGTTGAAATTATTCGGCGTACTTAATATGTTGTACGCCGGCCAATAACTTTCACAGGTAACAATTTAGAATCAACATTATCAACCCATTAAATCGTCACCCCTGTACATGATATGCATAAATTCTATCGCTTTTAGACCTTCATGTTTAAAACAGTTCAAACGGTAATGGATTAAGTAGAGGAAACTATCGCCGAACAGCTTTACGCATTTAGTAGGGCTGATTCACCAATGCCTTCAGATAGGAACCTAGGTATATTGAAGGAGTAAAATAGAAATGTTGATATGTTATCCAGTATCCATTATCTTTTCCACGAGCTTGTATTAAGCAGTTGTTTTCTTTGCGGTTGATTCTTGTTCTTTCGGTACAGTTCCAGGTGGTGTGGTTATAATGTAATACTGTCTGCAGTCCTTAAGTGTCAAGTTTCTTCTTGAAAGACTCCCAGTTTTTTGTTTGTACCACTTCAGTTGGTTATAAATTCCAGCAATCGACAACTCGTCAAGAGTCGGTGTGTCTGAAGTCCACCGTTCCGTAATGGGCCCCCAGTCTCTGAGTATTTTCCATAGGGTCTGTTTTGGGATTCAACTTAAGTAAGTATTTTAGATCATGCTCAGGAGTATTTAGAATGCTATAAATCATTAGACGGTCACCTCTCTTTTACGGCATTAGGTCCTGTAGCTTTATTCTCTCTTCATAAGGTTTGAAACTAAATTCTCTAATGGGCCTTGGGGCCCACTTTTGGATGCCTACCGGTGTATTCTTGTCACTTTGGAGTGAAGGAGGAAGCGCTATATTTCAACACTAAGTGGGTCAGATGAAGCTGTTAAAGAATAGTTGAAACGTTAATATATCAAACTGAACAAAAATGCGCCTTTAAATTACTGATGCAATGTCTGCTCGGAACGAACTCTCGTTACATTTGGTGTACGACTTTAGGTCATAGGGCTTAGTGACTTTCAAATATTTTCAACTAGGAACACCTCTAGAGGAGAACCACTTAAGTTATGTACATAGTTCGCAGCATGTCCCAGGTGAACTTCTTTGTACTTTGAAGTGTTAAAAGGAAATCCGTTTTCATTCGCCCAACTTTGGAGATGAGTTAGGTGCTCTCGAAGAACAAACCTATCGTCTTGCCTGCAGACTTCTATACCAAGTTTAATGCTTTGGACGAAAAATTATAACTCAGACAACACTTAGTAATGTTCATTTAAATATATTAGGCAAAGAAGATTTCTTATTACTGAACACTGAGGGACTCCACTAAGACATTCTGTAGCCTAGGAAAAATCGAAGTTCTTGCTGACCTTAAAAAGTTGGTATATATACATTTCACCAGTCTATTAAAGGTGGCTTGACATCTAACAATTAGAGCTGATTTATGACACATCTATGAGTGATCAAATCAAACGCATTTAATATGTCTTTTTATACATTTGAAATCATCAATAAATCATTGTTAGACCATCATTAGAAACCTGGAAGCACTGGACGGCCGTTTCTTCCTGGTCTGGGACTCATCAGCAGTGCGCATCCACGACTCCTGCACCTCGTAGGATTCGAACCCAGGACCTTAGGTATTGTGCGCGAACCGGAATCCAACGGTGTTAATGTCTAACTCTGATTGATCTAGGGATTTTGCGCGACCTCACCAGTTTGCCTTTGGTAGATACTGCCTACATCCGAAAGGGTTGAACTCCACTGGTCACGTCTTCTCAACTAGAACTCCGAGAATTTCCTCACGAAGCTAGTCACTAGTGAGCGCTGTTACGATATTTTCGGGCAGAGTTTTGGAGGTTTGTGTTTTTACACATTTGAAATCATTGTATATCACATCAGCTTTGCCCTTTAAATCAAGGATAGTCGCCTATCTGTTGAAGTTGGTGATGCAGGAGTGTTTCTTCCTAAAACCGTGCTTCTGGAGAGAAAATATGCTTATGGATGATTAGCAATCTTACAGACCGTCATATATGAAGATCTCCACAACTTTTGGTGCTATTGAACGAAGTGTTACCGGGCGAAAGCATGGCGGCTGACTGTGTCGGCCTTCTATGAAAATTGGGATGAACCAGCTTTTAATTAATTGGGACCACTCCTTCACTTAGTGAATATTAAAACATCACACTAAGAGGTGTTACCGCGACGTAAAGTGCTTCTTCAGTATGGCATAGTGAACCACATTCGGACAAAGAAAAGTGTACTAGTTTAAATGATGCAGCTTTTGATAAACCAAATCGGCTTAAAAGTTTACACCTGAGATTCCACCTAGGTTGCAGGTGAGATTGTCATTACTGCAGGTCATGTGAGACCGTTAGAATGTCTGAAGATTTTGATCCCTCAGAAGCCCTGCAGCATCACTGACGTTGTTGGCTGAGCCGTTAAGACCTAACAACTCCAGTTTTGGCTCGACGATGAGGGGCTGTAGAGTTGACTAAGCTCTTCGGATTAAAGTCAGATTGATCGATTAGCTCCATCTGATACTGAAGCCTATTCTTTATTTGTCCTTTCATACGTTGGCTCCTTGTTATTTACAACGGTCTTTGTATGCTGTCCTCACCAGTTCGTTTATACTCCTTACAGCTGCAGTTTTTAAGTTTTAGTAATTGAAGAGTGCGATTACTTATGAATTTTGGTTGCTTTTAATTTCTGAACACCGTTCCGAGGACCTAGGATTCTGTTCATTAATAAATCTCAGTTGGTTTTCCCAATAAGCTGAGAGCGAGCCTTCCAGTTCACTCGCTGCATATTGTGCTTTAAAGCCAATAAATTCCGCCGTTTGAAGTCCTCGTTAGTAGTATGCTTTGGCTCAGTTTCGACAGTTAGACTGAAGTTTTTAGTCAGAAATTCTCATTTGCGATTGCCACATAGATAGCTTAACTATTCATAGACGGTTTTTCATTGTATAAACTTACCTGAACTTTTGATGTCTATGAGCGGACATACAATCCTATTGGGTCTTATTTCGGATCATGCTCCCATAACGTGTTTGTTTACCATTATCTGCAAAAAGTTGAATCCTGCTTCAGAAACAATTGTCGGACACAAATATATCATGCACTGTTGGTAGGTAGACACTTGGTGTTTTTAGAGGTTGAAAAACTCTTATCTAACCTAACTGCTTTTCCTAAGAGTGAACAAACCCTGATCAAGTACAGAGCGTGACCCATAGTGTTGCTAGAAGCCATTTTATCTAGAATAATGATGAAGCTTGTAATTTATTCGTTGTGTCTATCAGGCAATACTATCCCTTCTGTTGCAATATTTAATTTAATTTGAGTGGGAGAGAATCATCCTTGTTTGCATCGCGCTGCGGTCCATTATTGTTGGCGTCCTTCC